TATCTACGTAAGTTTATTCCTTTATAATTTTTTATAATCATGTAAAATAAGTAAAAAAATAACATCATCTACATGAGTTGATTCCTTTATAATTTTTTATAATCATGTAAAATAAATAAAAAAAATAACATCATCTACGTGAGTTGATTCCTTTATGATTTTTATAATCATGGAAAATAAGTCAAAAAATAACATCACCTACGTGAGTTAATTCCTTTATAATTTTTTTATAATCATGTAAAATAAATCAAAAAATAACATCATCTACGTGAGTTATTCCTTTATAATTTTTTATAATAATCTAAAATAAGTCAAAAAATAACATCATCTACGTGAGTTGATTCCTTTATAATTTTTTATAATCATGTAAAATATTTATCCTTGCATTTTTTTATCACTACTATTTGTTTATTTTCTGAACTAATAAATATTTTTATGCATTGTTTTTTATAGTGTCTGTTTCTAGCATTCCCAATAAAATATATTTGTGTTTTTATAAAGCTGCTAAGGTCAAAGGGAACTTTTTGAATTTGACCCATATTACAAGGACCCACATGGGAGCTTACTTGTGCATCGCCTCCAATGGAATTCCTCCTTCGGTCAGCAAGCGTATCATGCTGGAGGTCAACTGTAAGTTGATCTATCTAGCTAATTATAAGTAAACTTAGAACTGCATCTTTCTGATAGTGATATAAATGTAGCCGTTTGATTAATGTTATATTTTGGTATTAAGATGTGAATCATGAATGTTTCTTTGACTCTTAAAATCTCACAACTGAAGGCATATATGGGTTCACATTCTCGTGTTGTCCATCATTTCATTTGCAACGTTCTGGTAGTAGACATTTAGTATTGTCTCGTCGCTGTTTTTTATAGTGCATACAATAGAACGACCGAGTCGGCAGAGTTATGAATCTGTTACATATCCATCAACAATTGAGCTGTCAGCCTGATAATGAAGCGGCAGGTGGCCCCTTTCGAGTTGTATATTCAGTGTAAAATAATCGTTGTTGATCCAAAACTAACTATGTGTGTAAAAATGTCCTAACCAAATTATCTATTGTTTCAAAAACCCATGAAGATTAATTCGTAAGTGAAGTATTAATTACGTGACAAATTTTTGGGTAATAAATTAGATGCTTGTTAACAATTTATATAAGCTGTATCAGTGTATTTAATGCCGTTATGTTAGCTGAGGTAATAAATCAGTTATTAATATTATTACTGAATCAGCTTATTGTTTAACAATTCAGTGTAACCAATCAGTTACTAATATTATTATCATTACAGCAGCGTACTGTTAAACAATCACCATAACCACTCGGTTATTAATATTATTATTACAGCAGCGTATTGTTTAACAATCACCATAACCACTCGGTTATTAATATTATTATTACAGCAGCGTATTGTTTAGCAATCACCGTAACCAATCGGATATTAATATTTATATTATAACAGCGTAATGTTTAAACAATTCACCGTAATAAATCAGTTATTAGTATTATTACTTTAGCAGCGTAATGTTTAACAATTCACATTAACAAGTCAGGTGTTATTATTACGGGAACGGATGGGGTTCAGAATAACACGTCACTATAATAATTCATTGGTTATTATTACTGCAATTGGGTCCTGCACAGCACTTACTGTAACAATTTAGATGTTATTATTACTACAATGGGCTCAGGCAATGCACTTAACGTAACAATTTAGATGTTATTATTACTACAATGGGCTCAGGCAATGCACTTAACGTAAAAATTTAGATATTATTATCACTACAATGGGCTCAGGCAATGCACTTAACGTAACAATTTAGATATTATTATTACTACAATGGGCTCAGGCAATGCACTTAACGTAACAATTTAGATGTTATTATTACTACAATGGGCTCAGGCAATGCACTTAACGTAACAATTTAGATATTATTATTACTACAGTGGGGTCATGCACAGTCTCCACTTAACTGGCGATAACTACTATACAGTTTTATATGTAGATTACCGTATTGGTCAGTTATTATCACAATGCTGTCCAACAGTTTTCTTGATGTTGTTTTTGGAGCTGACTAACTAAGATATATTCATTGTCAGCATAAAGAAGTCGCCCTTCTGTTATTCTAATGTAGGTAACTTAAAAATATCCGCGATGAATTAAACCCAGGATTTTAGCGTTGTAAGTCCGTAAAGTTACCGATATCCCACCATGGGGGTATTCTCTCGTGAAGATTGTCTTTTGTTGAACGTCTGCTTGCAAACTTCTGTTCAATTAGAAAGATTCTTGTGATTTTCTGACGAACATTGGCAATGCTAATGAGATTTGACCGTATTCGGCTCACAAAGAATTCAGTTGAAATTAGTTTAACCAAGAGCAATATAGTGGCTCGAGTTTGTTAGAAATCAATTTTATTTAAGTGGTCATTAATATAAACATCTCGAGAGTGCATTCATCGAAAAAAACAACAACATAGATATCTAAATACACAGGAAGACTACAGTACGTTAGGAATGTCAGAGAGACAGGGAATCAATCACTGGAATATACGATCAAGTTTTTATTTGGGGTTTGATGATGATAATGATTCCCCCCTCCCCAAAACAATGGAATGAGATGATTTACAAATTGAATGATGCCAACTATCATGTTGTAATTCATGTTTTGTGGGGACTTCACAAAAAGATCTTTGCTGGTTTCTTGAACATGTTTAGTTAAGTGCGTTAAAGTAACGTTACAACTTCTGCTGTTTGTAGATACAAGGTTCTTGTAATTAAAATTAATTGTTCATTTTCAACTAAAGAAACTAGGGCGTTTAGAAGAGCTTAAAAATTAGGGGCATAAAAATGTTTTACGTAACAACTAGGTCACTGATATGAACACTCTGTTTGCTTATTATCAATCTAATCATCAGTAGCATGAACTATTGTAATATTACAAACATCATACGCATGTGAGATTAAAGGCATTTTTAAAAACGTCTAAGCGATAAGATCCATTTTCTATGTAAAGATCAGTTGTAGAGTGTTTTAAAAGCCTGAAATATAAATACTGACAGAAAAGAATTATTTACTTTGACTAAAAGTAGTATAATCACAATTTCAACAAATTAATTTTCATTGGATAACTACTCCGTAATATTTAAGAGAGAGTACGTTTTAGATATTTGTTTATTTAACGTTACTAAAGTGTTTTTCCAAGATGTGGAATACCAAAATTTTATAACATGTTCCAAAACTTTTGAATGTGTTTTCTTATTTTGCTTATTCTAGTTCCTCCTAAAATAAGAGTGCCCAATCAGGTTATTGGAGCCTCCCCAGGAAGTGACGTAATACTTGAGTGTAAGGTTCAAGCTTGGCCACGACCTCTGACCTCTTGGGTGAGAAACGAAAACACGCTTTTACTAGCCAACTCTAAATATCAACTAACTGAGGTATACGATTCCTACAATATCGATATGAAGCTAAAAATTAGTAACCTTCAGAAAGAGGATTTTAACGCTTACAAATGTGGAGCTAAGAATGCATTCGGTGAAAAAGAAGGATTTATTCGTCTTCACCGTAAGTCCACTTACCTGTTTCCTTTTCCATGCTAAACCCATAAAGTAAAAAAAAACAAAAAACAAACTTTCCATGCTAGACCCATAAAGTAAAAAAACTCCTTTTCCATGCTAGACCCATAAAGTAAAAAATAATCATTTTACATGCAAGACCCATAAAGTAAAAAAACACACATTTTCCATGCTAAACCCATAAAGTAAAAAAAAAATTCCTTTTCCATGCTAGCCCCATAAAGTAAAAAAAAAAAATTCCTTTTCCATGCTAGCCCCATAAAGTAAAAAAAAA